AACATCAGGTCCATCTTTCGATATTTCTGGTGATCACATTCAAAATTCGGTTTGCGCAATGTGGTAAGTTATTGCTTGCGCACAGTTGTTGCTGAGTACTACCATGGCGAGTATCGCGAGCAGTACTGGTAGAGTTGATACGGACTTCCCCCTATGTAGTAATAGGAACGATATATCGGAGGCAACTATCATCGTATTGAATCTGGGACAGTACTACTAGTACAGATATCGCCGGGCGCAGGCTAGGGTACATAAGTACCTTCCGTGGCAAGTAGCGTGCGGCTCTTATAAATGCCAATATGCCAGTGGCTGAGAGTGGCGTGAGTGGCTGAGATCGACTCCCGCCGGCCCGTGGTATTTGAAATTATTTAAATAGTGTTTGACCTCGCCAACATCGGACCACGACACTCACCTTGACCTTGCCTCAACTATTTACATCACGTCGTTGTACTGACCCTGCCATCTCTGTATGTTGCACACAGTTTAGGCAATGCGGTCCACTGCTCACTTTACACCGTTGCTGCAGGCTCGCCGAGGCATCATGGATGCAAGCAGTAGCCATGCGAGTCCGGCCCTGCCGGTGCCCCAAACTCGCAAAGCGATTGAGGACGAGATCGCTCGCTACCTGAATCACGTCTTCGACCTCAGATCGCGCCTGAACACCTTCGCACCCATATCCGTACTTCCTCCGGAGGTGCTCTCCGAAGTGTTCATGCGTACGGCGGGCCCCTATGCTAGCCTGTCGTGGTCCACCCGCCCATATGGCTGGATTCGCATCTCCCACGTCTGCAGGCACTGGCGCAACGTGGCGCTGGGCTGCCCTGCCCTTTGGGGAAAATTGGCGGTGACGACGCAGCATGAGTGGACGGAGGAGCTACTGGAGCGATCCAAAAAGGCGCCCCTGTATGTCACTATAGACTTGCGGACCTCGCCCAGCATGTCGTCTCGCATATCACCGAAGGAGGAGTCACTGGCGCTGGTGCTCTCGCATATGTCACGCGTACGCTCGTTGTCTATCACGACCACTGGTATGCGTCCGTTGACAGAGAAGACCTTACAACTGCTGGACGGGCCCGCCCCTTGTCTCGAATCGCTGACTGTCCGGTGCGAGGATGTCATGCACACTTCCCTCGGCGAGCATGCCCATATTCACCATCTGTTGCTCCATCCCGAGACTGTCCGTCTCCGACATCTGGAGCTACACGCCGTCTCCCTGCACTGGCACAAGACTTCGTTGCCGCACCTGACACACTTGACCATCTCCAACAAACCCCGTCAGGCCAGAATACATGTCGCCCCCGAAACTATGCTTGCTGCCATCGCGCAGATGTGTCGCCTCGAAGAGCTCGTGATTGAGTCAGCAATGACCGTACCTGCCGACTATAATCAAGTCCCGATGGCGTCAACTCAAGCCTCCTTGCCTAATCTGTGGTCCCTGCGCATCTCGGATACTACGCCGAACACCATCTGCCTCCTAAATCACTTGACGACCTCGGCCCTCTCGCGCATCTTCGTGGAAGTAGACTCGCATTGTCCAAGGCCATTGCGGGGTGATCTCCTCGCTGCCATAGCTGCCAAGACGTCTAGCTTGGGGACCCTGCTCAGCTTTGTTGTCACCCTCACCCGCATGGCGCTGAACTTGCAGGCATTCAGAAGGGGCTTCGGATGCGAAGCGATGAAAAACGGTGCGGGCCGGCCGGACGAGCACACTCCTGAACTGGAGGTGCGCTTCGGGCGATTCGACGTTGAAGTTGTCATCACCAAGGCCTGTGAACTGTTCCCCATCCGTGACGTTCAATATCTCTTCGTCTCCGGGACGTCATTGTCCAATGAGTCGTGGCTCGCTCTCCTCGAGAGCACGCGGAATGTCACGGAGCTCAGTATCATGGATGGCGCGAACGATGACCCTCTCCCGGAAGTGCTTATCGATCAGCACTGCGGAAGCAAGAAGAACGCATACGTACTGCCCCAGCTCCGTCACCTCATTCTGGAGGACTGTTACTTCGGAGACCACAGCGACGAGTATGAATACGGTGGTGACAAAGAGTTTGAGGACGAGGACAGGCTCACTGGGCGTCTGCTCGACTGCTTCATGGCGCGGTACGAGTATGGCGTGGAGATCGAGCACCTGCACATCATCCGCCCTATCAACATTTCGCGGTCAGAGATCGACGAGCTGAAGGAGGTTGTGCGCTACGTGGGCTGGGATGAGACAATACAGTACGATGAAAAGGAACGCTTCACGGACGATTTGTACGACGACTTTGAGGAAAGCGAAATTGATCCCTATGAAGATGCTCCCTTTTGGGGCTACGGGGGCATGTGGGATGGCGGCTTCTTCTAGGCTTGCTTGCCTATGTCGTTTGCTGGGACAGCATGTATTGTTTATCGTAACGCACACATTTCTCCTTTCACAATATCAAAATCAGTGTCATAGTACTTAGTTTTCGTTGACCACAATATCATAGCACGTATTCTGACTATCAGTTGCCGGACAAGAAGAGATCTCACTCCCAGTCCGCACTACGTGTACATCGTCGCACTTTGCACGCACGCGGGTGTGTAGTACTCATACTATGTAGGAACCCGGCGCGAAGTTGATGGAAGCTGTTTGAACGGGCGCGCCCGCCACATGCTTATATCAGCACGTAGATATATCGCGCCAGCCTGTACCGTCACGTAGCTTTTCGCCATTCCAACACCAGCATGTATATGGGTCCTTCTCGTGCGCGGTCTAGCTCGCTCCGCCCGTTCCGCGCGACCGCAGCCACTACGACCGCCCGAGCCGACCTTGCCCATTACAGAAGCGTTGACAACACCGGCGTCAGTGATCGAGTGTGGCTGAGATCGTATCTTGATCGCACAGCCTGAGTCGCTCTTTGTTCTCGCCCCATTACCACGTCTGACTCTGAGCGCCGTTACACACTCACTGCCGCCTCTGTATGTTGTATAAGCTCTCGATGCTGCTGTAGCTCACTTACCGTAAACCTCCACAGTTTGGGTACTCAAATGGACGTGAGCGAATGCCGTACAAACCCAGCCTCGCCGGCGCCACATACTCGCCAGGCGATTGCAGACGAAATAACCCGCTTTTCGAACTACCTCATCGACCTCAAATCGCGTTTAAACCGCCTCGCACCCATATCTGAGCTTCCTGCAGAGATCCTCTCCGAAGTTTTTTTGCATGCGGCTGCTGTCGACGGCAGTGATGCATATTCCAGCGTGTGGCCGACTTGGACACTGTATGGCTGGATATGCGTGTCCCATGTCTGCAAGTACTGGCGCTTCGTGGCGCTAAGTTGCCCTGCCCTCTGGTGCAACTTGACGGTGACGCGGCGCGAGTGGACGACGGAATTACTGGCGCGATCCAAGAAGGTGCCCCTGTACGTGACCATGACTTACCCAGTGGAAGACGTACCGGCGTTCGGAAGCTCGCGACCCTTGGTGCACGAAGAATCGGAGGAGACGGCGGCGCTTGTGTTGTCGCACCTGGCGCGTATACGCTCGCTGTCCGTCACTGTCAAGCGTCCGCTCCCGGACAGGACACTGCATTTGCTGGACGGACCGGTTTCGCTTCTTGAGTCGTTGACCATCCAGTACGGATATGCCCCACATACGTCCTCCGCCGAGCACCATCATATCCAGTCGTTGGTGCACCGCGCTGGGGCTCATCGTCTCCGGCGCCTTGAGGTGCACAATCTCCATCTGCAATGGAACCAATTTCTGTTGCCGCAACTGACACATTTGACCATCACCGGCGTCGTACAACAACGATACAAAGCACTAGTCGACGCTCCAAATATGCTCGATGCTCTCTCTCAGATGAGCCTCCTCGAGGAGCTTGTCATAGAGACATCGCTAGCTGCACCGTTCGACCAGACCGTGGTCCCGACGGCTTCGACCCGAGCATCCTTGCCTCATCTGCGACATCTACGTGTCCGGGAAACTCCATCCAACTGCGCCTGCCTTCTCACGTATTTGGAAACTCCTTCGCTGTCGCGCCTTTCTCTGCAATTGGAAGGGGACACAACGCCATTTGGTGCAGCACTCCTCACCGCTGTGGCGACCAAGATGGCTAGCTTGGGGACTTTCTTGACTCTCCGTGCCGACTTCTCTGGTCACTGGTCAGATTGTGTCCACTTGAAGGCATATCAAACAGATATCGACCACCATGCGATGCGGGATACTGCAAGCGTGCTCGAAAAGTACACTCCCGACTTCGAGATACGCTTCCACCGGATGGATCTCGTCATCATGATCATGGATATCTGCCGACTCTTCCCTATCCGTGACATTCGCAACCTCTTCATCGCAGCCCGCTGGTTTCCGCTGGCCGCATGGCGCACCCTTCTCCATTCGACGGACAAGGTCACAAAGCTCTTCGTTATCAACTCCGCGTCGTGCAACTGGCTCTCGGAGGTGCTACTCGAGCGACGCCTTGGAGAGCGGAAGGAAAATGGCGAGGGCCACTTCTATCATTACGTCCTCCCGCAACTCCGTCGCCTCACATTGATAGAATGTTTCTTCAGCGAGCAGGGCTATAGTGAGCTCATCACAGGGGTCCTCAATGCGAGACTCGTCGATGGCCTTCTCGATTGTTTCACGGACCGGTACGAGTGTGGCGCCGAGATTGAACAACTGCGCATCGTCCACCCTGTCAACGTTGATAGGGAGGAGATCGATCTGTTGAACGAAGTCGTGCGCGACGTGGACTGGGACGGCACCGTTGACTATCAACGAAACACCACGAACATAGATGACTATCGCTGGGAGAATGGTTTCGATTTGTTGACCGACCCCGATCTGTTTGAAAATCACTTCATACCGGCTTTCGGAGACGAGGAGGGGATGACGTTTCATGTAATCTGATTTGCCTTATTACAGTAGTGTACGCTTCTGCAGTGTCATGTACATTGAGCCCTTACATTGAAGTCTCTTTTGTAGTCACTTTACCTCACATGGTGAAAGCCAGGGTAGTCAATATCTCAATAGTATGCGAATCACTCCCGAGGATCCTGACGTGTCAGTATCACGCTGTCCCAGTCGATCTTGGTCGCGACGTCCGACCCGGGCCTCCAAGCGACCAATCATGTCAGTTCTAGGTGCGGGCATTGCGTCACCTTGAGTCGTTTTGGCCTTCCGCCGCGTTCAGCCCGTTCAGCCAGGTACACCTCCAGTTCTCCCAGACACTGAGGTGCAGTGGGCTCGTGAACTGCCTCATGTCGTGCGAATCAAGGTGCACGGTGTGCAACCTAGGAAGGAGAACGGTCTGGGGCGACGGCTCAGGGTGAGCCTCATCCTGCGCATCATCGAGATCGCCGTCCTCGTTATGCAGGCCAGTGGACTGCGCCATCGCGTTAAGCAAGGTTGCGAGGCTGGTATGCGCGTGCAGGAGTGACCCTAGATAAGGTCCTCAACAATTTTCTTCACCGGCGGACACCTCCGGGAGTAAACCCGTTCATAGACACCGTTTGCACTATGGGCCGAACGGCTGGTGCTGACAGACCTGGGATATAATCTCGGATTGCAACGGGTCGACTTCGAGGATTATCGATTAACTCCATTGAGGGTGAGTGACCGTTCAACGACATCTCCTAAAGGTCGACGCTTCGGAAATAGAGATGCCTTGCGGTTTTGATACCTGCAGACGAGGAAGGAGGGTCGTTGTTTGATCCTGGTCACTCCGCTTACTATAGTATTCGTGGACTCAAACGGGACATTGTCCTTGTGCCACCGATCATTGATGCCAGATTACGATCTGATGGGCCCGCATCTCAGACATTGATTCAGCGAAGTAAATCCCGCGAATGAAAGTTGTAAACATACAATGTTGTTCTCGAAGCATGTTCTCGAAGCACTGCGCACCGGACAAGTAGCACTGTCAAATCGTTGTGGGCGCACTAGAATGCTACATTTGGTTTGAGACTTCCTGCGGTACTACGACGATACACAGCAACACGACGGCGACGGAATGACAACGAGATCGTACCAAACTACATCAGCCTGCGCGACGGACACGCCTCACGCTACTGCCTTGCCCTTGCCCTTATCCTCCTTCCCCGTCTCGTCCCGAATCCCGCCGTCGGAGAAGTTCAAGATACCGGCGATATCGAGCATCTTGACGACCTGCTCCGCGTCGTCGACCTTCATGTTCCCCAGCACCTTGTTCACCTTGTCGAGCTCCTGCGTTTTCAGCGCCTCCTGCAGCTCCGGCGGGAAGCCGTCGAAGACGTCCCACCGCAGCTGCAGCATCTTGCGCACGTCCTCAATGTTGACGTCTTCGAGGCCCTCGCCCTCGAGCTGGAGGTTTTCGGGCGGCGCGCCGTCGGGGACGTTGAACGAGATCTTCTGCGACGGGTCTTCGGGAACGAGCTGGATCTGCTCGGAGCCCTCCGCCGCTGTCGCTTCCGCCTTGGAGATCCGGACGCGCTCCTTGAGGTGCTTGTACGTGTCTGCGACATCCTTCTCGAACACGGCGGACGCTCGAGGATCGCGGTCGATCATCCTGCCGAAGGGGCTGAGCACCACTAACGCAGCAGCGTGACCGAGCCACTCACTTTCGGAAGAAGACGCGCACGCCATCGCCACCGAGCTTCTCGCAGTACTGAATGAGCAGACTTTGGTTCACGCACTGCTGTGCGTAACGGTACTGCCCGTTGCTTTCCGCTGTAAACCCGGCTACGAGCAAGGCGTCTGAGGCACCTGGAACCATGACGTCCCGGTGGTTCTTGATGAACTCCCAGGATTGCTCGTAACCGCGCAACGGAAGGCGAGAGAACTGCTCTAGTGACGGTGTCAACTCGGGCAGCTCGTCGTCGTCGGTGCTAAGCGAGGCGGATGGGGCGGACGGGGTGGCTTCCTTGAACGTATCGACCGCGACATCGACACCCTTCGGGTTGATGACCTCGAACTCGGTCTTCGCGCTCGTAGCTTTGTTCTTTGGAGGGTCGACCTTGGCACCCTTGATGGGTGGGGGAGCAGGCTGTGGGGGCACATACTTGGTGATCGTTAGTGCCGCGATGCATGTCTGTATGGTCTGGCACACTCACATGCGACTCCCATCCCTCATGAATATCATCGCTCGTGATCTTTTTCTTTGACTCCTCCTCCAGCTGTTCCAGCTCCTTCCTCAGCTTCGCTTGGTGCTCGCCCATCTGCTTGATGTGCTTCCTCAAGCCAGCCTCTAGCGCATCACCCAGCTTCGGGTCGTCAGGTTCCATGCCCGACCTCTTGATCTCATCCCACACTTGCAGCATCAACGAGAGCAGCATGTCGTCGTAGGTCTTCTGACCGGGCGCGTCGGTGGGTGGCTTGTCGGGGGACGGGCTAGCCTTGAACTGCTCCGTCAGGGAAGAGAAACGTGGGGGCCCTTGTGCTGCGACCTCGTCCGCGATGGTACGCAACCGCGGTCCAAGCACATCATTGCACGCGATGTCTGCTTCCAGCTGTGCCGTACGGCGTCGGCGTACCTCGCGCTTCTCGTGTATGTCGCGCTGCTTCCATCTGCAACAAAGGTCATAACGCGTCATCTTCAGCACCGAGCCGAGACGCACCTTACCAGAGACTTGTGGTCGACGTTCGGGTGTCCCTCGATGTCTGAATCGTCGGAGATCTAGTGCATCGTCGCGTCGGCAAGACGTCGCGGTGGGGTGAAATCGGCACTGACCTCGAGTGCATCCCACTTGGAGTAGTTGAGAGGCATGCTTGCAAGCAGAGAGGATCGATATTCAATGAGCTTGTGTAGGCTTGTGTGCTCGGAGAGACGGTAGATGTGTGGATGGAGTGTGCGGGAGTGGATGTGGCTGAGCAGTGGCGAGGACCAAATACAGCATCCGGTATACTCGGGAAGCTTCTCGAACCGGCCGCCATCGATCAAAGCCGATCCGGGCACGACTCGGAGACGACCTGGCCTGGATGGGGTCGAGGAAACATCGCCCCGACCTTCATTTCGTTCCTTATACGGCCGTCCTCATCAAGTTCGTGCTTAGGACATGCCTACGGGAGACGGGCATATTCCTTTTGGCCTGCGACGCAACAAATCCGGCACGTCTTCCAAGATGCAACAACCTCATTGGCAGCGACTCTTCCGAAGAGCCCATCACATAAATATATACAGAGCTTTCGATGACTGCCGTATTGCCGATACGGTTGGATTGCGTACTAGTACGTAATGTGGATGTACCGCAGTTGCTAGTTCATCGTACTTATTATACTTATTAGAAGAGTCGGAGTCACAGTTTGCAGCGACGAATCCTGCCAAGGCCTGGTGGGTCCTTGTTGCGCCGTATAACCGCTCATTTTTGCTAATCTAGGCCTGGTTATCAGTCCTTGGTCGCGCTTTAGTTGGCATAGCATCCCTTGCCACAAGCCTATCTCCTGGGAGCCGGAAATGCCATTGGCAGAAGTCAATAGTCATCGCTTGTCAGAATGATCATATGGGGCCTCATGCCCATGCCCAAGGCCATATATCCATTTAGCGCGGACCTGTGGATGCGAAGACGCCATGGGCACGACGTTCTATCCCTGCCTATTTGCGCTACCCAGATTTGGGTCGAGCCGTCGAACCTCGCTGCCCCACAAATCGCAATCTGATCGGGGAGATTCATGAGAGATATGTGGTTAGGCACTGCACCCGTACTCCGGAGCGGCATTTCCTTCCATATGGTGCACCCTGTCGGAGCTGATACAGCCAGGCTATTACTTCTCGCAACGACATGGCGGCTTACCTCCAGACCGTCTTCCCCCGGGCCTGCACCACGGTCGAGCTGCTGCCCACACATCACCGCCGCCGTCGACCCAGTGTATCGCAGCGACCGTACCTACCACGTCCGACAGTCGTAAGCAGACGGATTCCTCGTAATGTCATGGTCGCTCACCTCGCATGCCTAGTCCCGGTAGCGCTTACAGTGCGAACAGCGCGCGTGAGCAGTTGGCGACGATGGCCACGCAGCACCCCATGGCAATTCCGAACCGCAACGGCCTCTCCCATCCTCTCCGCCACGAGGTTTCTCACGAGTCAGTGAGAAGCCATACACAAGCGGGCCCAGCCGACGTCCGCCCAGCCGAGACCCAGTCGAGTGTCCATCATGCCCCTCAGGCCTCTTCATCCGACCACCACCCACCCCTCGCACAGCGAATTGCGTCCACCTTGCGACGGTCGAGCAGCGCTGCTCTTCTACTGCAAGAAAGACAGCCAGAGGACACGGCCATCAGACCTTCGCAGCCCTGGATCACTGGCCCGTCGCGATGTTCATCTAGTCCCTCGAGCTCGATCGACAGCCAGCCATCTACAGCTACTTCACGCCCTTCGAACGTATCGGGCCGCGCAAGTCTCTCACACTCCGCCGGCTCACACGAGTGGACCCCTGCTGCTAATTCAGTACAGTGCCATCACTTTTGCAGAGGCCGCTCAGAGTCTGACGATGGCACCTGCACCTAGGAAAACTCATACCACGATCCAAATCGCAGACGCCAAGACAGCCTCTCTGCAAACGTCTACACAGACTCAGGGCACGGTAGCGCGGACTCGGACGCGTTCGAGAGCGAAGAGGTAAACCTGACCGCGCTGAGACGCATCGTCGAGAAGATGGAACAGCGAGAAGCGCAATTCATAAAGCGCAATGGGCGGAAGCTTCACCGATACCCAGCCAGCGCGGTGCCGTACCCGCGAAGCTACGATCGCACAGTCGTGGACCAGTGAGTAGTCGTCACGCACGAGGGAACGTCCGGTTCGGATAACACCGTGAGAATAGCGATGTGTGGTGTATGATGTGGTCGCAACAGCTCTCTGGGAAGGTCGCGTGGCACTTGTTCAACACGCCACCGCAAAGAGTGTGCGTGACTTCAAGCTTCCTTCTTTGTTGCGAGAGAGAGACTGATACCTACGAACAGTTTGGATCTTGGATGCGGCAAGTTATACATGATATTGCATCTCGTTTCTTCCTGAACGCAACTGCGTCTTTAGGGACAGGCACTTGGATTCTAGATGCAGCCAAATCGTGGAAGGTATGCGCAGAAAAAGATAAATGCTATAATGGCGTCCGCTGACGTTTGCATTCCGCAGGACGCTCACTTCGTCGGTCCGTGTTTGACCGTGCTGTGTACCAACCCTGCCTGACAAGTGTGACACATAGGTTTGGACGTTGTCCCTCTTCATCCGAACCTTGAAGAGATTGACCCAATACTAGCGTGGCGAGTCACATGGGTCCAAGCGAACTTGTACGTCCACATCTTATCACTCAACGTGAGTCTAGCTTCAATCCCTCGACAGTCTTGAACGCCTACCCTTCGACGATGGGGAATTCGACTTCGTGTAAGTGGAACGGGCATTAGTACACCGCCGCGTCTTCTGACGCGATATCACACAGTCACGTACGGCGAGTAGCACGAGGTATCCCAGAAGACAAGGTCTGTATCGCAGTATCTCAGTCTCGTTGACATATCTGACATACGGGACAGTGGGACCATGTACTTGAGGTCTGATACACACTACTCCCGACTCGAGCTGAGCGGCTGACACATTGTGACAGGAAATATCGCGCATAATGAAACCCGGCGGCGCAGTCGAAGTATGTGCTATTTCTGAAACAGCGGACCACATCTCACCGTATGATTAGTTAACAGAAGAAGATATATCCTTTCCCGGAATTCGTCAGCAAACTCCTGTGAAGAGTGACGACGCCCCCACAAGCAATACACCAGACCAACAGCCATCTACGATGGGCTCCCCGCTTGCACGGCCGCGCGCTCCCACACCGTCATCCATGACAAGCTACGAACAAAATATACCCTTATCCGCGATACCCAGTATACCGCAAAGCACGTCCAGCAAGTCGGCTGCAGGTTCCAAGATGTCGCCGAACGATCTCTCGCATAATGTGCCTGACGAGCCTCCCATCAACCCGCATGACCACTCGCTTCTAGAATTCATCTACAACGAGATGCATGCGGCCAAGTTTATCAACCTCGCACCGCTGTCACTGCTGAGCAATATGTTGCCTTTGTACTTCCAAGGTCAGCTCGAAATCCATGTCTTCAGACGTCCATCGACAGTATGTGTATGTTGACAAAGTTGCCACAGGGGTACGCACACACCCTCCGCTGGTAGTCATGTTCCCCCCTCCGCCCCACGAATCCTGCAACCTCGGCACTGTGCCTGACCCCGCACCGCCTCCCCTAACAACCAGCTACGCCATTCCCTCACAAGACAAGGTGTCGCCGTCCGAGGGTGGGTCTGAACCGGCGGACGACCTGATGAGCTCGGAGACCATCGCTGTGCGACTCGAGCGGCTCGATCTCACACGGATCAACCCAAGCGCAGACGGAAAGACGCCCTTCGTGTCCGTCCCGCAGCTTGTCTCCGGCGCCGCCAAGTACCTCAGTGCGGACATGGCACGGTATACCGCGTATGCGCCACGGTCGCTTTTCCAGCCGAACAAATTCCAGCAGAAAGGACCGGCGCCGCCCCTGCCTAAGGGCGCGAAAGGCGGCGACTCGCAGAATGGCGGGGACGCTAAGGAAACGTGGGGTGAGGAACGCCTCCCCATCACCGCAGTCAAGTGTGATACCAGGACGCTCAATCTGCACCTAAGCGTAAGGGTGCAGGAGGTGCTTGCCTGCGCAGAGGCGATGTGGGACTTCGTGGAGGCGTACCAGGAGAGGGCGGGAGTGGATCTGACGTGGGGCAAGGCTTCGTCGATGACATCTTCATCCACGGGATCGGACGCCTCGAACATGGCGCCTCGGAGGCCGGTGCAAAAGACCACCAGGAATCCCAAGTGGAAGCAGCTACTGGGTTTGCAGAGGTCGCACTTCGACGCACTGCTTATGCGCTTCAAATTGTGAGCATCGTCTGCCATTTTTCCTGTTTCAATCCGTGGCTGTCATGAAGTAACGTAGCTGACATGACTGCGCCAGTGACATGGAGGACTGCTTGGGCTTCGACGCAGTACTGGAAGACCGCCTCGGATGGAACCCAGTGTCCCTCTCGCGCAGCGAGGAACGCATGGAATTCGACGCCATGTGCGATGCCTGGGCGGACCACCAAGAGGTGCTTGCTAGATCGCGTACGTCTAGCGGCAAGGACAGCGTACCCCGGTTGAGCACGCCGCCCCTCACACGTTCCTCGTTGTCGATGGAGCCTCACACCTTTCGGACTAGCGAAGGTCAGGACACATTGCGGGGACCGAAGGCAGGCGCATATCCTGCGCTGCAGAAAGTACGCGAGTCGGGCGACGTGAGGTACTCCCAGGGCGAGTCGTTCACCAGCAGGCCCCGCCGTCAGCAGCCCATCCCGCCACACGAGCGCCTGAGTAGGACGATACGCTCGTTCGTAGCGTTCAAGCCGTAAGGGGGGTGGAGGAGCGCTGCGCCTCACCGGCCGAGACCGCTGATCCATCATCGGAACCGAGCGTCATGCGCCAGGATGGAGCACAACATGGCAACAGGCCCCGACCTCGTTCACGATTCCGGTGCTGACACGGTACGTTTTGGGAAGATGACAGCGCAGGGGCGCGACAATGGGAAGGTGGCAATGGTCCTGATCCCGACGCAGCGGGGGAGGTTACCCAGTTGGTCGCGAAGGGGCGACGGGTGCATCGGCGCGTTCTACAGAACCCGATCCAGGTGGTCTGTTCTCGGCGCCGCGAAGCTTCATTTCCGGACGCCACAGTGCGCGGGGGGCGTGGCACGTCGCCCCGGGCG